CCTACACAGTCTGCACTCAATTTATACTTGGATTTTATAATTTTTCTTTAATTAAATCCAAACTCTTAATAGCTTGTGATTCACAAATATAATGGATCTAGAGTAAACCCTTCCTATCAGTCCTTTTGCCAGCTGTGCTGTTCCTGTTGCTGGCAGTACAAAAACTGAAGGAGATGCAGAGGGAGTCAATAACTTCATTGCTCACAATGGCAGTAATGTCTGTATCTCCTGCACACAGACTCATAAGCTCATGTGCTTTTCATTCCAATTTATGACAGTAAGTCTCAGCACTGAGCACCTCCCATGGACTAACAGCCAGTTTGGATCGTTAGTTGAGCTGTCTCTTGTATCCACAATCCTTCCCAGCAGTTGTTCATTTCCTGGAAATGCCTTGCTCTCAGATACAGCAGCATGTGAATGTAATGAAAGCACACACACATGTGCTGCATGTTTGCTACCTGCTGCCAAGCAGCAAAAAATGATGGCTTTGCATTTTTTTTTTTAAAGTGTTGTAACTTCCTGGTTAAGATAATTGATAATGAAGTCCTAGCATAGAGAAATTTTACCCAGATTCTGCCTGTGTGACAAGAACCACTGAAAGGATTTTTACAGAAAGAGTTCCTGCACACTTTAAACTCAGACAAAGTTGACAAAGAATTCCTGTTACCTAAACCTTAGCAAACATCTTCCCCTGTGGCAAAGGAATGTGGTGGCTGCACAGACATGTGGAGGCTGTAAGAGCAGGACAAAGCAGAACACAGCATTTAGAGGGGAGGATTCATCCCTCTGTAGATCATCTTTGTGTTCTCTATACCCTCCCAACTGGCCTTTTGCCCCCTGTGCAATTCTATCATCTTGTTTCCCTTCCTATTTTTTCACCTAATTCATGTTCCAGATTTTTTCTTTCTGGACAGCCTGCAGAAATTACATCACCCTTTTATTCTATTTCATGGTCTACATGTGTACAATAAAAAATAAGGAAGTAGCACAGCAATCCAGATTAAGTAGAAAGAAGTCTGGCAGGCTCATCCTTGCTGGCTGCAAAAAACCATCATCCTGAAAGCAGAGGAAGGATTCTGAGGCATTTTCCCAGGCTATTTCTCCATGTAATATTCTTGTCAAGAAAAACATAATAAACTATCCGTTGGGCCTGCAAAGAAATGCTCTATTTTTAAACTAGAAATTCACACAGATCTCCATGTTAGTATCAATACCAATGTGTCCCAAGTTAAAACAACTTACCAGAGCTTTGTAGTTGCTCCACCCTGATTATTCTTTCACAAAATGTACTGTAGGAACACCAGACCCGCACAATTTTCCTCAGTGGCACAGCCAACTATCACTAGGTGTAGCACTCTGCAGGTTTTAGCCAAGGAAACACTGTGTGCCATGAGCGTTGGCTTTGACAGACCACACGGATTATTGACATTTCCCTTTGTGCCTCAGGGCAAAGAATTAAAACTACATCAAAGAAAGGAACAATCCCAAGAAGCAGATCATAGTCAGGCCCTGGAATAGAAGGCATTCAAAATACTTTGCTGGATCATGGCCTCAAACATGTATCAAGGCTTTATACCCATGATCCATATAGTCTTGCTGCAAAGAATAGAGAAATGTTCTCACAACCCTGCATGTCTGTGTGTTATGACATGTGGTTTTGGCAGTTGCAGTGGGATCTGCAGGACTTGGGGGTTTTGTGTGTCTTTGCTCTATTTTTTTAATGAAAAAGAGGTTGTTTAATCTTTATCCAGTTGTTCCTCAAACCAGTAAAGATACAGGAAGAAGCCAGTGCTGCGGTGTCTTTAAGGTCCACAATACTCAAATCCAAAATACTATAGAATGTCCTCTTATTTTGGTGCATTATGAGTCAGGAAATAATAAATGGAAAGCAGTGATGGGGTTTTATGTGTCTGTAAGACTTCTATCTGCTTCTGTTTCCCATTGTCTCCATCTGGACTGTCTAGATTGCTCACTAAGCTGCTGGCATTGAGGGGCATCCTGCATTTATACAATTCTCAGCTGCAGCTTATGAATTGGCAAGGCTCTGACTTACAGAAAACTAGATGGGTTTGCAACTGAAGCCAAGAAGATGATGCAAACTTGTACAGATTCTATGTATCTTGGAAAGAACACAACACACACTGAAGACAGTAAGTTACACAGATACCCTCTATTAAAAGAGCTATTCCTCTGTGCAATTTCAAAAAATCCTCCATGAAAATAAAAAGCATTATCCTTGGTTCCTCCACTTTGACCTTTTTGGTGCAATTCCCACTTAATCTTTCACTGATGTTCCTGTTTTATTATTAAAAGAAGCCCACCCAGAGGAACACCTGAAGGAAAAAGTACTCTCGATATTCCTGTGACATTAACAGTATAGTGAGAGTTGACAACCCAGATTCTGAGTAGCATTTAATACACATAACACTTACAGATCCAGAGCTGAGGCAGTGCTCCATAGGTGCAGCCTACTGCTTTAGCCTTGTTTCCTAATCTAAGTTCCTGTTCTTTCTTATCTCTCACCCATTCAATAACTCTTGATTAAACTGATTGACCACACAGAACTCTAAAAGATAAAATACATTTCTGCAAGTTTTGTGAACATAAGGAACCATTAAGGTAGAACATGCCATTAAGGGTCATGATGGAAGGAAAGCACACCCTGCAGCAGGCCTTGGACATTATTTGGTATCAGAGATATCCCAAGAGGGAGCAGGAGACAACACTGATGTCTCCATATTTGGAAAATAAATTCCAAGTTTACAGCCAGCCATGAGATAGGAACCTGCAAGAAGGCAGGTTTTGCCAGTTCTGGTGCTCTCAGAACTACTCATTTCATTGAGAGAGGTCAGCTCAAAACCCAAACCAGACAATTACAGAGCATGGCTGCACAATTAGGATATATTTCAGACTGCCCAATATGCTTTTGCATTAAAAGAAAGGGTGAGTAACTCTCCAAACCAGGACATACATCTTGAGGGATGCTGAACGATGCAGGGTTCTGTGATTTAACAAATTTTTAGTTAAAATAGCAAAGTAGCTGCAAATTTGCTAGAATGGGGTAAAATCAGGACTCAGCTTGTTTTTACAAGCCATCATTTTATAGCTTCACTGTGTTTTGTCTGATGAGACACTGCATCTAAAGAACCCATGAGGGGTAGTAGCTTATGAGATATGGTAAAAACAATTTTCCTGCTCCAGCAAATAAGCTCTTACGTGTATTTATGTGTCTGTTGCTAGTCAGCAAAAAGCCACTTAGTGAGATTCATCATCATCATGTTCGCTGCTCCATTCAGCTCTTCTTGAAACTGTTAAGTTTTACTTACCTATTATGAAGCTTTATGGATTCATCTGCAACAGTGCACTTTGGGGAATTCAACCCTGCCAACAGATTTTTTTTTTCAGATGAATTCTTATCTCCTTGCCTGCACATGTTTGCCCTATTAATGGTGACATGATACCATTAAGAGATATGAAAACCACAGCCTTCTCATATCCTCACATACAGGGAGAGTTGAACTCAGATTCCCCAAACCACAAGGCAGTTTGTGGTCTCCTGAAAAGCAATACAAGCAGCAGACAAAAGGTCTGACCTCACTCAGACTCATTGTTCAGGACTCAAGCACGTACCAAGGGACCATAGCAGCAATCCAGTGCATCTGGCAGCACACTCAGCTGTGCAAGACTCGTAGCCCAGTGCCAACAGCTCCTCTGTTCTACTCCTGCACAGCCTCTGACTCTCTGGGTGGCTCTGGGCCCTACTCTACAAACAATTCCCAGCACAGTACTCCATTATGAGAAGTCTTCCTGACTCCAGCAGCACCAGTGGAAAGCACACATGGATGGGGACTTGAACTCTCAGAGCTCAACTACCTGACACCTCATCCTTGTGCTAAGAAAGGAAGGAGCAAGAGATTAGAGTAACTTATCTCAGCACTGTGTGGTTGGAATTTTATCTGTCAGTCTCCAGTACAAGCTAATGCCTTGCAGGAGCCTTGTATCATGTATTTTGCTCCCCAAAAACACAAGAGAAACACGAAGCCAAGGATTTTATCCCTTCGATTTAGGATGACTTTGCAGCAGCCAATAAATCACACAAAAGCTTGTTATGTTACCAAGTTCCTCCCTTTAAAACACAATCAAAAAAAGGCCAGGCTCATACCAGTACATCTTCCCTTTCTGATTCCCACTTAACCTGAAATTGTGTATTACTTTACCAGCTTACACCAGTGGCTCATAAAGTCATCTGTTTTCAGTTGCTTGCTAAGAGCCCACTAATGGAAAGTCTTTGGTGATCTGGAAGGTTATCTGTACCTGTCTCCTACCAAGCTCCTTGCTGCTAGAATGATGGACAGCGTCAGCTTTCAGCAATATGCTACAGAAAAAGAAGGAAAAAAAATTATTTTTCAAGTCCTGAAGCTGCCCATTGACAGATCTAACAATTCAAATAAAGACATCTACATATGTAGAAATTAACAACCAGTAGTGAAAAGTTGAGTGGATGTATCTCTTATGAACATGACACATGATTTTCAAAGGTTTATCACTGTTTTGAAGAAAATTAGCACGTATTACCAGGTAAGATAAACAAATAGATGGTAGTGTTTCCAGGAGCACAGCCTTCAGGACTCATTTCCTACAGAGGTCTATGGGAGCTCTGCAATGGTCTTACCAAAAACATTCTGGTCAATGAGGAGTAATTCTGGAAAGCTCTACCATCTGCTATGGGATAATTGCATCCTGCACAGGCCTGGGCATGCAGTCAAGTGACAGGGACAGGCTCCTGCACTATGGCCCTCAAAGGGCCCCTCTGAGCAGCTGCAGATCCACATCTGTCCAAACCAACACATTTCCATACCTGGGCGTAACAACACAGAAAAGACTCAGAGCCAGTGTGTTAACAGTGTTCTACACCGTGAGAGACACTGCACCCATGCAGAGTTCACACAAGGATGCACAGGAAACTGATGTGATGGAAAACAAACCACAGGAGAACAAAATTTAAAAAATGTCCTAAAATGTGCATTTTATTTCATATCATTATACAATGTTTACATACAGGTATACTTTTAAGACTGCTCAAAGAAAGTGTGAAAAAAGTGAGGCAAATATCAGTTTAAAAATTCCTCCCCTACCCCAAATCCCCACAAATAAAATACATTTTAACACAATCTCTTCCAAATTAATGTTTTGTCCTGAATTTATTGAATCTTTCATTTCAACATGAAAAATACAATTGAATGAAAACTCAAGGTGAAATGCTGACCTACACTTCTGTATTGAGTTGCAAGAATACAATTTAAAACCTTCAGAAGCCTCCACTTGTCTCCACTGCTTATATATCTTAATTTTACTGAATTAGAAGGCACAGAAAGTCCAAATTCTCACAGACCAGTCAAGTTCTGCTAAAAATAAATTACTGTGCTGGACAACTCCTGACTTGTCTGATGTTAAACAAAAGACTTCAAGTAGAACCTTTTGTTCAAAATAGCACCATTTCCACCTGATCTTTCTTGAACATGAATCATTCTTCTTGTGTAAAAACTGTAGTTGGCACTTGAGGTGGGACACTTTCTGCCACAGCCAGGATTCTTCAAAGACTAAGCATACCAAATTGCTGAACTCTCTACAAAGTGTAGGTAACATTTTTGTTGGGAAATGGCACGTTTAAACCATAATGTAATGTCGTTTAACCCGCGTATGGCTTGCCCATTTTGGTGTTTCCCTGACCCCTGCTTGATAATTTAGCAGATGTTCTCGTGACTGTGGTGAAACTAAAATAAAGACATGTTTATGGGGCTTCACGGCAAGCAGGTGTAAAAATAATCAAACAAATAGTGTGGTTGCCGCTAAGAAGGTTTTCACATGTTGTTTAACTCCAGTAAAGTTTGATCCAGCATCTGATGCATATTAAGGTTTTCTTCTTTGGCATGCGCCACTTTCTCTGTTGTGGGATTAGAAAATTAAAACATGAATAGCAGTTCTTTGGAGGCACTGAACATGAAGGCATGCAATCATCATTTCTCTCAGAGGCTTTAGAAAGTTAAGCAATGTGCATGCTCATAAACAGCAATGTTTCCAGATAACACAACTAGAGAAAATTCCAAATTAATAAAACAAACAGCAAGTAATGCAAGTTTACAACTGTTCACAGTTGCATTTGTTAAGAAAATGCAGTGCCAACAGAGACACAATGCTCTGGAAGCTCTTTGCTTATGAGTATGTGAGATAATAAGTGGCCTTTTCTTTTTTTTTTTTAAAGTAGGCAATAAAGAAAATAAGTTCTTTGCAGATACACGACTAATAATTTCATAGATTTCAAAAACACAAAGAACAAAAAAATTAAAACTATTATAGTTTTCAGAGTGACCTTTAAGAAATTTATTTCTTCTAGAAAATAAATAAACTCGAAGTTAGTAGCCTTATGTTGCATGCACACTTTTATAGGACAATTACTTAACATACATGGTTAATACAATAAATGAGCATAATGCTCTGGTGGTGCATCCCACCAGGATTCAGTAGTAGTAACTTCATACTATGCAAGCATACCTTTAAACTGACTGGGTATTGTCAGATGGAGCTCCCATTCTTTTTTTTTTTTTTTTTAAAGTCAAATGCAAGCCAAATTCATAGTAAGGCAAAATTTTGACATCAAAGCCTCCAGACAAAACAGCTGTAGTATCCTTTAAATTGGTTTTGAAATACAGAAATATGGATTCTAGCAAATATTTTTCTCTCACTGTGGTAAAAATCTTAGGGCCAATTCATGTTGGATAAACTGAGTGCCTTTCTGCAACACAGGCTTTTTGAATACTGTTAGTGAAATGCTGTAGCTCTTTACTTAAGTAGAAAGAAGCTACTGCACAGCAGAAGAGCTCAGTGCTCCTCCCAAATAGGTGTGCAGACACATAATGAAAAGCCTCATCCAGAAGAAGCATTTCCATATTTTCCCAAGAGAATTTCTTTCATTAATTTACCACAGAATCAACAGAAAAAAAAATTCTAAGTTTCTTGCTTATTTCTACAATTACTGATTCATTCTTTAAGGAAATTTGGAAGAAGGTGTTTTCAAATAAGTTAACAATAGTCACACTAAAGTTTAATCCTCATTCAATGCCAGCTTTAGTTCATTAGTTAGGCGACTGTTTTGCTCAAGTTGCTGGTAGAGTTGGTCTGTACAGGCAGCAAGCAGGTTAGAAGGGAAAAAAGAGGCAGAATGAAGACAGATTAGACAGAGAAAACAGTTAAATAAGAGTTACTAAAGAAACTGGTCACATGACAGACAGTTCAGTAACATAGAGAGAAACATTTTACCTCTGTTTCTAGAACTCTAGTAATAGCTACTCCAAGGAACAGCTATTGTACCATATCAAGAACTGGCTAAGAATCCTGTTGTGGGGAACAGCTGTGAGACACAAACTGGAATAGAAAGGGAAGAACTGCAGCTATACTCCTAGAAGTACTAAGTCTTACTTTACCGTTCTGTGCAGTGTGTGAATTTGTTTTATGAGTGCCATTTTTCTTTGCAAACTATTTAAGGTGTAGTGGAACCTCATTTACCAGTAGAGAGAAAGCAATTGCACCACAGCCAGCATAAGTAACAGCAGGAGAGATGCTAGTAGGCAACGACTACCAGGTCTGACTCAGCCCATACTCCTTTCCTAGGAAGTCTGATGGGCTGAAATGGTATTTTTGATAGGTAAATATTACTGGTGTTACTGGAATCCACACATTTTGATACCTTTAAGTTGCTGAGTTTTACTTCGTAAGTAAACAGACTCACATTTGGTGAAAATGAAAAGGAAGAACACTTTGCTCAAAAACAGCAAACAGAAAGGACAATTCATGTTGAAACAGAACAGCCACAGCCATGTTGTGACAGCACATTTAGTGAGAGTTGCTCTGCAGAGTGAAAAAAAATGTTCCACAATGGCTTTTGACTACCTTGTGTTCTCAAATTGTCCATGCTCTTCTCAATAGTCTCACTGCACTCCTGACCTCTTGATCCCAGATTATTCCCCTACAGGAAATGACTGTTTCTGACTTTTCCACAAGCTGCCTAACAGCTTCCACAGGAATCCTCTTCCCCTGCAGGCACTGGACACAGCAAAGGCAAAGCTGTGCAATGAGCTGGTCTCCAGGACATGCTTGTATGGTGAGCAACTCCTCCCAGCTTCCTCCCTAGCCAAATTCCCACAGCCAGCTCAGTAAAGCCAGGGCACATTTCACAGCTCTGATCCTGCAGATCCTCCAGTAACAAATGGATCTTGTCCCTCTCACCATGATAATGTAACATATATGTGGAAAAAAACATCAAAGCCTTAGAGTAACTAAAATTTCACTTTGTCTAGCAAAGTGTATATAGCTGTTATTCAAAAATGAATTGTGAACTTACTCCTACTATCATCACAGAAATCTCCTCTCTGACTGAGGCAGAGATTTACATTATTTCTCAACTTCCAAAACAATTAAATCCCCCAGTAAAGCAGGGAAAGCACTTCCCAAGTGTACAGTGAGCCCTTGATGCCCCATGGGCTGTGTGTCCATCTGCTCCAGAGGCAGAGGCTGGCTCTGCAGGAGCCCCAGCAGCCGAGCAGGGAGTTCTGGCTCTCTGCAGAGCCCAGAGTCAGCCCTGCACTCCAGGGAAGAAGCCTCAGGCACAAAACCAGCCAGACATGGCAGGTACAACACCACAACTGAGGGTGACAAGAGTGCTGAACCACACCAGAGCGGGGAACCACAAGAGCTCCCTGGAGTAAAGATCAGAGCAGCAGGACCAGCCAGGAACTCTGCATGCAGCTACCTGGGGTTCTGCATTGCACTGCTCTTTTCCAGTATTCTGTCCAGCAATCTGTCAGCCCTCAGTGCAGAGCTGATCATGTATGACTGACACAAAAGGCAAAATTTTAATACTGATGTTTAAAATCACTATGTTAAAAACTGACAGGTTCCTGCAACAGATTTTGCTTTTTTGTTTACTTTCCTTAAGAACACCTGTATTGCAAGGAACTGAGTGGACAAAAAACTGCTAAAACAGTGAACTAAAACACAATAGATTAAGAAGCTGGAGTTGCTGTAGCATATTTTAGTCTGGCTCAGATGACAAGTTGCAGTTGACCACATTCCCCCTAACTCCTGCATTTGTTATTAGTTATTAGCCTCAGTCATTTTACAAATGCTCATCCCATTATATTTGGTTAATTTTTATATATCCCATTCTATCAGTTACCCTTCACACACAGACACTTACTGTATGTCAGTTGAGGAGCAGTAAATTACTGAATTTCATTACCTGAACTATCTGTGATTGCTGATTAATACCCTGTATTTGGGCTTCTCCCCCCAGCCAGCAACATTAGGATGTGTCATAGGTAGAAAACTGGGATATGCCAAAGTTATCCAAGGATGGCAGGGCAGGAAGGGCATGCATCCATTCACAAGCCTTATTGGGAAAACAAACTTGGAGGAGGGGAGAAAATCTAGTTTAGATTGCACTGTTGAATAATCTTGAAGCTGAACAAGAAAGAGACAGTTACTTTTCTAAAAGTTAAAAAATACAGTTCAGCTATAGTATAATGAATTTATTTATCTTTGGTGACTTAGGAGCTTTAGCAATATATAGAGTTACAGCATCACCAGAAATCAATCTGGTTTTCGCTTTCATGTGAACTGGAAAACAACTTCTTTCACTGTGATGTAAATAAAGTTAAAATAAGGCAATAAACTCTCTAGTTGCAAATAACAGTACAAAAAGAGCACAAGATGTCAGTATTTAATGCTTCATCCTTAATCAGGCAGTGACAAATCAGCTGAAACCTGAAATCCATGATGTTTGTTCCACCTTGCAGCACAGTACTTTCATTAATAGCATAATCACTGTAATTTTCCTACTTCAGCTTTGAAATATTTCTCATGAGTCTGCAATTCAAACTCACAAATCTGAACTAAGCACAAGTGGAAATCTAATTAAACCTGCCCAATGAACTTCTAATATTATCATGCCACTCAAGAAAAATATATTGTAAAAACCCCAAAATGTTAGCAAGCATCATCTTCTCTGAAAACTGAGGTGTGAAAGAGGGAAAACTTTTTTTGCAAGACATTTCAAGGATTATTTTTGGCTGAAAAAAAGAATTTAAAGTTTCTGATTCTGCCGGTTTAAATCTGTCTCAAATAGTTAAGTTAAGGAACAAACATTTAAATAAAGATAAGAAGTCTTCAGCATAAAGCTAGGAAAAGATTTCAGGCTTTAAAGTGAAAAATCTGGTTACATCAAGGATGTAACTGCTCCCTCAGCCATGCTCCCACGACCAAGTGACCCCAAGGAAGTAGTGTCCTTGCAAATTTTATCCTAACAATAACAACTAGAAGAGTTCCTATTACATCTATTTGTCATTTTATCTGCAGCAGAGTTTGAGAAAAACTAAGATAATAACTGGTCAGTTTTCACACACTGTGCTTGCTGGCTTGGCATTGTCAACATTCAGGCAAAAGTGTTTTCAGCTAAAAAATGAAAACGCCAAAAAATGAAATCCCTAATGGCATAAAAGCGCAAATTTTATTAATAACTTAAATAGTTACTTAAATAAAAGGCAAAGGAATAGCAAAAGGAATACAGCTGGGATATTTATTTTACATTGAGAAATGTAGTTTCTGTACAGCAGAGCACAAACAGAGCATGTTCTGAGACAGGTGATAGAGGAAGAGTCAACTAAGCTAGAAGACAGGACAATGAGCCCATGAAACATCCAAAGCTTGGAAAGATGTTTTATCCAACCCGATGAAGATGTCTTTGGAGAACTGAAGCAAAGAAAATTATCTGCATGAAAAGAAAAAGTGAAATAAGGTAGAAAATGAAAAAAGGTGCAGTAAAGACTTTCAAAAAAGCAGCAATGGCACAGCAGAGCCCAGCATGCTGAGATGACTATGCTAGAGAAACAGCACACCATGCTGGGACTAGAATGATAGAGTCATGTCCTCATATACCAGTAGACTACAATTTTAAGTCTGTTTTCCACTTAGAAATATTCCAAATTGAAGAAATATTGTAATCTCTGTATAGAGAGGAGGGAAAAAGAACTCCATTTGCTTGATAAGCCACTAAGCAAAACCATATGTCAGGAAGGAATTTGAAAACAAAAAATCAAAGCATACAAAGCAGGCAACATGAGACCTCTACTAAAATGTTGGTAGAGAGAAGTAGGAAAGTAACGAACAGACATGGAGACAAAAAAAAAAACATGAAGAAAAACGAATTTAAAATATGGATGCAAACAAAATACGTTTCAAGCTCTAAGACATAAGCAAACCTTATGTCTTGTAGAAAGCATGCCTGGGTTTCCAAAAGGGAATGCTGGGACTAAACATTGCACCTCCTAAGCACTTGAGAGCCACAGCTCTTCCCCTCTCCCATGTCAGCTGCAGGGCTCATGCATGGGAAGGTGGAGGCAGCACAGCTGACCTCTGCTCAGAGTCACTTTGTGGCAAACACTGCAGAGTCACACCTTACAGCTGTTGACTCTCCTAGTTTCCTGCCACTCTTTATTTTTTCTCCTTATGACTAAAGTTGGTATTACCACATTTTTGGTGTATGCAAATAAAATTGCTACTGCTATCTACAAAATATATAGAAGAAACCTACAATTCAATTGTTGCCTTTATGGGTTTAAATGACAAGGCATTTTAAATCCATTTCCACACATGTAATTCAGTGATAACAGCTGAAATTTTCAGAGCAGTTATGAAAATTTAGATAAACACTTTCTACTGTCACTAATAGAGAATACAGCTAAATCTAAATTTCTCTGACATTTTTGCAGGAACTTTGCCAGAGCAAAAACTGCGACAGCAGGCAAAGGAATACACTGTGAATGCAACATGTACCACAGCAACTTTCTTTGGTAAAACAAACATGATGGACCTGGTAGATAATGTTTGAACAGAGGTGAACTGAAAGGATAAACACAGAGCTACAAACAAAGGGCAACCACAAAACACAAGGACTGCAGACACAGAATCAAAAAGTAACCACAAGCTTACAAAATCACCATGAGTATTTACCAGGCTTGGCACAACACTCACCCACACTTTGCCAGGGTAAAGCAATTGTTCATGGTATTTTGTACACCTATTCTCTCTAAAGGAAAGCATCTCCCACTACACAGGGAGCATCATTTCACAAGGCCGGTACTGCGCAATCAGTGAGGGCAGGGAAGCAGGAGCGGGCACAAGCTGGCAAGACATTTACATGGAAGTCATATCATTGAGAGCGTGGTCCAGCTCCTCACTGATGGCTTTGTACTTCAGTTTCTGAGCATAGAGCTCATCTGATGTTCCCCCAGGAAAGGCAGAGGTGTGCAAGGAAACGCAGGAGGATCATGGGATGGAAGGTGAAGGTGGTGGCAAGGGGATACCATCCAGAAGCCACAGGAAATAGGAAGAGTGCACAGAAAGAAGTGTTGTGACAGACAAAATGAAACAAAATTAGAGAAGAATAAAAGAAAGAAAATGGTGAACGGTTCTATGCAAGAAAATACTGAACAGTTTTATGCAACAAGTTCATTAATTGCACTGCCAACAGGGCAACCTGTGATGTACAGAAAACCAAGAAAAGAGAGTAGAAAAGAAGCAAAAATCCATGTTCACTGCCCTGGATTTTTGTTTTAATGCTTTTTTGTTTTAATTAAGGGGGGGATATAGGAGCTAGGGATGAAAGATCCAAAAATGGGGCTCAAAGAGGGTGTTACCATTTTCTACCACTTTTTTGTTTTTAAACCACTCTGGCTTGTGTGATGCCAAACTCAGCTTCTTACAGCAATTTTCCTCCTTCTAAACACTTATCTTTCTTCTCTGCTTCCTTCCTGAGTCAGGGATCATAAATTTTCAGCAGCTACTTAGGCATTTCATCACCTTCATGCAGAATCCAGCCTGCCACGCCATGCAATTTAGCTTCTCCAAATCCTACACTTAGTGTAATGCATCTAAATAGCAAACTCCATATAACTTTAAATTACAAAGTCCTACTGAATTGTTTTCTCCAGAGGCAGACAGCACATTCTACTACACTGCTGCAGTTCTGGCAGATTTATCAAAACTTTACAAACAAACCCTCTGAAGTTGAATAAGCTGTCCTTCTGATTATGTATTCAACCTATCAGCTTTACCAAAACCCAACAACTGGTCTATGTCACAAAAAGCCTGCCCTGACCCACACTTATCACAGTAATAAATTAGGTTAGCTTGCTACATTCCTAAGTATTGCAAACATAATGCAACTCTTCATCAGTTCTTTACTAAGATGATAATAACACTTGTCATCTGATCATTTACCCTGTAACATGTATATACTTCCAAGTAGGAGAGTATAAAGCAAAAAAAGGGAAGGAGTCTTGAGAACATAAGAGAAAAAGCAATAGGCAAGAGCAGAACACTGTTCACCTGAAGCATTTAAGATATCAACACATTTCATTTAAAAAATATTTTGTCTACTCTTTAGGCAGACCCATTTATATAAGCAGGACAAGTCAACCCAGTAGAATTGGGTATTAAAAAAAAAAACACAACAAAAACCCTCACACAAGAGGAATAAGAGAGATGTATTTCCACAGTAAGCAGAAAAACAGCCCCACATACCTTCTAGGTCATCAATGCTCTTCTCCAGCTTGGTTACTGACCTCTCAGCAAACTCAGCACGGGTCTCAGCCTGAAGTCAGGACAAATATAGACTACTTTAGGAAACACACACAGTACTTAGGAGTAGAAAAGGAATAATTCAAGTGAGGAAAAAAGCACAGAGAGAGGAGGTTAATAATAAGGCTAATATAAACTAATTTCTAGGGGAGATATTTAACAGTAAAGTGTTTCCAAAATGGTATGTTCATCCTTACAGCATCAAAGTAGTGTTTATACTAAAAGAATCAAAGGTGCATTGGAAGATACGTTGCAAAGAACAGCTCTCATTTTACCTCCTTCAGTTTGTCAGTCAGAACTTTAATCTCCTCTTCATACTTGTCTTCTTTCTGTGAGTACTGTAATTAGAAAGAGGATCATTGGTATTAGATGAGTATTCTAAATAAACCCAAAAAACCCCACACTCAAAACTCTTGTAATAGATTATCTGTACACAAGAAATTGTTATAGGAAAAACAAAATTAATTCCACTTGGAAGGCTGTGGTAGTATGATTTGTTACAAGAGTCAAACTTCCCTTGAGTTACATTCCAGAGCAATATGGTGGGAAATTTGAGAAGAAATTAGTACTACAGTTTTAAAGAGGAATGTCTTTTGGAGAAATTTAATGTTAGCACACAATGCCATTTTGAGGGACATTCTGTAATAAACACTTAATCCTGTCAGAATACTCAACAGAACATGTGGCCAAATAATACTGACCTATTTGGAACTAAAAGATACGCTATGTTCCAGTAGGAGCCAAATATGAATTGAGTAGTAAATCCAACATCTATTGACAACAGCCATGAAGAAATGCTGGCAAGTGATTGGCATACAAAGAAAAGCCCATTGGCCAGATGACAATGTAAGGGACACATTCTCACATAAGTCTCTAGCCTACCTTCTCAGCCTGAGCCTCCAGCGACTTCAGGTTGTTGGTCACAGTTTTCAACTCCTCTTCAAGCTCAGCACATTTGCTGTTATTTCGGAGGTAAGGCAGGAAAGGGGAGGATGGAAGATTCAGTCAAGCAAAAGAAACAGGAGAAAATAGGGGGGAAAGATAGAGAAAAATGAAAACAATTACAGGGCAAAAGAACAGCCTCAAAAGCAGCTGATCCATCACAGACTGAAAGCAACTCTTTGTGATGCCAAATACCAGTTCAAGTGCACATTAAGACAATGACCAGACAGAAATTTATCTACAGCTCTTGGCTTACACAGAAACATTTACAGAGCTTTTACACGTGAGACAGTTCAGCTTCTTTTGGCTGCACAGGAGATCAGTTTTAAAGATAAAAATCAATAAACAAAAAAAGAGACCAAAGAAAACCACCAAAGCGAGATGCAAAGAGAGAATAAAGAGCATAGCAAGGACTTATTTGTTACTACTGAGTGAGCTAACTGGCTACGGAAGCTGAAACACTTGGGTTGCAGTTAAACCTAAAAACTGTTTATTAGTATCAGTACCTTATCCTCTGCAGCCATTAATGCTTTCAAGGTTTGATCCATTATTCTTAACTGTTCTTCCAGCTGTCGGACTTGGCTGTTAGTGAACACATGAAATGCACAAAAGCCATTCACAAAATCAGTGTGCAGGTACAGCATGCAGTGACAAAACACGCGCACACACATAGGAACACATTTACTTTGGCACTGACCATTTATCTCAACAATTACAGTAAATGAGCAAAACATAGCTTGGAGCTGAACACACAGTGTGCTGCCAACATTTCATGCAGTTATAGTTCTCTTCTAGCACCTCACAAACATCCCAGGGCAGTTCCACACTTACCTTTCTGATAGCTCAGCACGCTCCTCAGCGCGCTCCAGGTCACTCTCAATGATCACCAGCTTACGAGCCACCTACAAGGACAGGCAAGGGACAACCAGGGGTATTATGTTGCTGCACTACACATCACCTGTTGCTAGAACCTACAAAGCAGGGGGCTGGGCCTCTTCATTTCTTGCTCAACACACGAGTTTTGATTACGTGGTATCTTCATTATTCATTTGAGACCTAGTTATCTGACATTTTTCTAGATCTCCCTTTCATTCACCCAAAGGCAACTGAAAATATTTCTCTTCCTAAGAGCTTAGGGAATACTCTCAAGCATTCAAGATCTAAACTCAGATCTCCTGTCACCTTGTCCCTTGAGTTATCTGAGTGCCTGATTTTCCTTCCACAGCCGTGAAGAGGGGTGTTTGTGATCTTTTGAACTTATAAGGCAAAAGAGAAAACCAAAAATTACAGGCACAGCCTAATGGGCTTCAGAAAGAGATGACCTGCACTCAAGAACTGACCTCTTCATACTTGCGGTCAGCCTCTTCAGCAATGTGCTTAGCCTCTTTAAGCTGGATCTCCTGGATTTCCATCTTCTCTTCATCCTTCTGGGCTCTATTTTCAATGACCTTCATTCCTCTGAAAAACGTGAAAAACAGGAAATGCAAGGCTCAGGGCTTGCCAGTTTATCTCCAGCTCTACTACCTGTGGTATGTGACTTTCAGACAGTGGTATTCAGGTGAGTAAAACACATCAGACAGACGAGTCCTCACACCATAGATTTAGCCCTGTGCACTTACATTTCAGAAGTTCAAGGAACAAAACATGTCTTAGGAAGGAAGAAAAAGTGTGATTTGTTTAGCTCTTATTGTAATTCAGCCGTAGAATACTTTTTAATTTTAGATTGCAGGAAAAACTCCTCTTATAGAAAGGTTAACAAAGGGTGCTGCTTCTAAAGACTGAAAGCATCTGTGCTTTTACACTCATCAACAGCATGTTAGAACCCTTGCAAGACTGACAAGAATTATGTCTATGGGCCAGACTCCCCTGGGTTTTGCCATGTCAGAGCCCTAGAAGCTCCCTGTGCTCTCTAAAAGCAAAATTTAAATCCTTCATAACAAAAAATACTCTGTGTTGCATATGTCTGATACAAAATTACCTTAAATGTTTCAAAACACACTGTGAGTCTCTGGCAAATTTCTTTTCAACAGGCTCCATTCCTACTAAGGTAGAAATAAACATGCAGAACATGTGGGTTTCTTTCACAATAAAAGTTCTATCACAGGTATAAAATACCATTCGAAGAACAGAGAAGATCTTCCAAAGTCACAAAACTTGAGTTCCTAACTTACACTACAGACTTCTGGAAATCTGAAGGAATTATCCGTCTCTTTCCTTTGCTCACCTTCACATACCAATCTGGACAACAGGAGAACCAAAGCCTCTTCCAGCACTTCACTACTCTCCAGGTGAGATTTTCCACCCACAATGAAAGCAAGTATTACCCAAGAGCACAAGATTATCACAAGGAGTTGTCATCCAGTAAGAGAAGGCTGGGCTGGGCCAAGCAGTTTTCCCAGGATGTGGCATGATACATCAAAAAACCTACCACACTTAAATCACAACTGAAAAAGAATCCAAGCCCAGATATTTTGGACATTGCTACAGACAAGCTGTAACTGAAGTCCATGTACACAAAGGAAGAGCAGATTACACATATTCAGAGACCTAGGAGTGGTTTAATTTATTTCCCTAACCCACACCCTGGCAATTATGATCTTTGTCATAAGGGTAACAATCCATTCAGGTGTGGCTCCACCCACCTTTCACTCTCATCTGCAGCCTTCTCAGCCTCCTCCAGCTTCTGCAGGGCAGTGGCCAAGCGCTCCTGAGCCCGATCCAACTCTTCCTCAACCAGCTGGATGCGTCTGTTCAGAGAAGCTACTTCACTCTCAGCCTAAGCACAGGAAGAAATAGAAATTAATTCATAGTAAGGCACACATCTTCCCTTGTAAAAGGTTACCACGTTACCTGCTAGTGCCATTTAACAGCACTTTGTAATTTCTGACTTCATCCACTAAGAAGTCCATACACAGAGATGTGCATGATTGAATTGTGAAGTTATTGCTTAACAGAGGAAAAAAGTGATTAATGCTTGCTTTCAATGGAGCACATCAAGGACCGTACAATTTGTACTAGAAAGAACTGCACAGGAAGAATTATGCACCATCACCCAAATATTTTCTGTTATTGTATTTGCAGACATTAATTACAGACCTTCCCTTTTTTAAATCAAACGAACACAAGCTAATTACTCAATTCTTCTGTTACCCCAATTCCTTTATTTATGACCTTTCACCATATTTTGCAAGAATTGTCCCCACATTTCCTTGAGTTCCGTAAGAATGGTTCAGTGTAAACATGTAAAAACACACCTGGATCAGCATTTACAACAGGACAGCTGCCACAGAGAGAGTTTGAGAACATTTAATAAGTGCCCGAATACCCAGAGGTTTTGGTTACAGGCAAGCTGTGCAAGAGTTGACAAAACAGGCACCAGCAAGGACCCTAGTACAGGCAGCAATCCCTTAAAACATCTTTTTTTTTCTCCCATAATTCCATCCTCAATCTACCCCTCAATTTGCCTTTTTTGAGCTACCTGTTCACTTAACTTTCTGTACAACACTTGCAACTCATCTGCCTCTTATCACTACAAGCTATTATATATTACAGCTCCAAACCTACACTTGGCCTAAGTCAGAGTAAGTTCTAAAACAGCCTTTTTGTGGTAACCTCCTCATTAAACCTACTTTCTGTCAAAACTATATTAAGCATAAAGTATATATAAAAGGGTAATTATTCTAAAAAGTTAATTATTTCAGAGAATAACACTTAATTAGTACTGAAAAGATACATTATATATATTTGTTATATGTGAGGATGTTCATATCTGAATCTCCCATGATGTCTAAACGAGGGGAAAACCAACCCTCTGGCAAAAGTAGATACCAAAAGTATCAGTTTGGTAGTTTTTCTTCTCTAACCAGATGTACCTGGATACATAGTTGGCCATAGCAAAGGTTTTGCTGTTCATAACACAAGAAAGAATAACTTACAGACCAGACTAATAAAACAACCTTTGACATAAAAGTAACAATGTCCAGCTAGAATGACTGAAAGTAACACATGAACAGGGAAGCAATTATATCTTTGAACATCAATATGCATTGGCAGTGAACACACAGAATCAGGAGAACAGATATCATCCTTTAGAGATCCACATTAATCCAAATATAAAACATTTAGCTATCTTATAATGCAGTAGTATTCAAAATCTCTGGTTCTGAACTTCTGGCTTTAAAACAGTAAGAATTTGAACTTTCACATTTAAAAAAGAAAATGACCTTTCATAAAGGCTACCCTAGGGAAATTTGTAATGTTCAAGTTAATAATTATCATGTCAAGACTCCTCATCATGATAAGAGCATAAAATGTGCTTCAAAACACCAGGGTGACTAAAGTTCAAGTTTTCACTTCCTGCTCCAGTAACTCACTAAGGATTTACCAATCAGCCTTATATGGCCCCAGTTATTCTTCTGCAGAGCAGGACTTCTCTCCTTATATGGCAAGGAAGGAAAAAACCCCAGTGACACTGGGGCACTCCCACTGCCACCATGCAAACATAACCCTCATTTCTGCCGTGGCACTTACACACCACATATTTTTACAATGAGTGATGACATGGATAAGTTACCACTGGGTGTTAATTATCATTATTATAAGGGAGATTCTGTTTTCCAGAAGGAGGTAGAAAAATGCATTTTGAAAAAGTGATTACCAACAGCCCCTTAAGATGAATGTACTCAAAAACCAGAAGATTCTTTTTTAAGGGAATGGCTGCTAATCACAGCCTTGAAACTTTTAACAATCTGGTATAACAATCAAAAGCTGGAGGCTGTGCTATGTTCTGGCCACAGCTGTAGCTTTTTTGTTGCTTGCATATTTGTACCTTGCACAGGAAGAAAGAACCCCTCACCTAACAACCCTAGCTGGTCACATGCCATACATGCAAGGCATTGCACTGAGGGAAGGAGCAGATTCACACCTCAGCTCGCTTGCTGCAGTGCTCTCAAAGCCTCCCTCCTCAAGCATGCAGAAATACAGCTGCAACAATAAAACCCCTCATCTGTAGCCAGCACTGTAGAAAAAGCACACGTCTGCATGTGCCTGGGAGCTCAGTTTTTTCAGCCTTTATTCACCCCAGCACTGACCCCTCCAGACAAAAACTTAAATACCATGTAAACGTACTCTGCAGAATTCCGCATCATCCACATAAGCCAACTCCAGGGAAGAGACAAACATTAACCTTTAGGGTCCTAAAGCTTACTGCAATGTAGCTGAACTCTTAAGGGAAGGCTCCACCAGAAGGCTGTAATCGCTCCTCCAGCACTATTCCTTCTGCCACAAAAGTTAACAGCAAAACACCCCTTTTCAATGAAAATTCCTTAATATGCTGGTCAAAATAATACATGTTACTGAAAGTAGGAATTTTTCTGTGCTTTACTCCACAAAACTTAGCAAACAAGTGAAGGTTTTTTAAAAACAGAAACCTTTATGAAATGACTTATGGCTCTTCACCGAAACAAACAGATATGCCAAGTGATCTGCAAGAATGCAATAGTTACACAAGTGCAAGTGGCCATATTTTGCTCCATAAGTAAGATCACCTGCAAGTAATCAGGAGGCTCTTCCTTTGAACTTACTGCCCAGAATGTGCAGAAAGGCCCATTTTATAAGGAGATAAAATAATCACAATTTTTCTATTGTAATAAACTACACAAAAGCTTTGTTCTTTTGCTTTGTTTTTACGCAACTGCTGAAGACACTGAAACTGCCTCAAAGAACACTGTACATTTTACAGCAGGAAACATTAAGCTACAGCTGCTGGAACTCCCAAAGGTCAGTGATAAGACAAAGAACAGCCCTATCAGGGTTTTTTTATTGTGATTGCCACCCGTAATTACATCTCTCTGCTACGTAAGCCTATGCTGCTCACACCTGATCCTGCCTCCGCCTAAAACCAAGCCTGCTGTTCCTTTCCCCTCCTGGCGAGCAGCTTTGATGAGCAGCACACACTACAGCTGTTCAGCGACTGGGGCTGTGCGCTGGCACTGTCAGGTGTTGTCAGGTACTGTGGGCCATCTCAGGTGCGCTCTCGCCTGTTTCCCAACAGTCGCCATGCTGACTTCCCACAGACATCAACTCGTCTGCATGGGATAAAAGAACTAGGACTTGTGGGGAGAAACACCCCATAAAACCTTGCTCATAGCCTAATACAAAACAAGTAATCTCAAACATCTCGCCTAAGACCGACCTCATTCCAGCTCGGGGTTTGCTGTTGCCCAGCACACCTAGCGCTGTCTCCCTGCGCGCTGCACCTGGGCCGGGCCCACGCAGCGCTCGGGTTACCGAGCCGCGGAACGCAGCTCTGCGGGCCGACCCCGCGGCCGGCCCGGCAGGTAACACCCATCTTGTGGGACACGGCGGCGAAGGAAGCGGCCTCGCACTCCGCCGGCCGGGGAGGCAGGCGGGGCAGCCGCGCCCCGGGACCCGCGCCCCCAACCCCCGGGCCCAAGCCGGGCTGAGGGGCGGCCCTACCTCCTCCCGCAACGCCCGCTCCTGGTCCACCTCCCGCTGCAGCCGTCCCGCCCGCTCCTCAGCGGCGTCCGCCTGCTCCTGCAGGCTGCGAATCTTCCTGCGCACGGCCTCGAGCGAGCTCATCGCCGCCATGCCCGCACCTCGCCCAGCCCGCGCCGCCTCCCTCCGCCCGCCGCAGCCCCGGAAGTCCCCCCGCGCCGCAGCGCTCCGGGGCGGGGCTGCGGCACCGGGCTGGGAGCGGGGCGGGGACGGAGGATGGTCCAGCCGTCCTGGGGATGGGCCGGTCCTGAACCGGGATGGGCCTGTCGTGGCAGTGAAGGGGCCGGCCCTTGCCCGGTCCGACCGCGGTTGTGGTCGGGGATGGACCACTCCTCACCGGGAATGGGCCAGTCAGGCCCGGGATGGGCCGGTCGTGGCCGGTGCTGGGCCGTGCCCCGCGGCCGTGCCCGGTGGATGTGCCGGAGCAGCAGCGCCGCCTGGCGGCACAGCACGCGAGGTCCCACGGACCGGACCGGACCGGACCGGACCCGGGGTCAAGAACCACCTTTGCCCCGCAAACCGCCCCCATATGAGCGATGTGATAAGATGACATCGAGGAACCCGCCAGATGCTGCTGCACCCGGCCTGGCTCCTGAGACACGGGGAGGGGAGAGGGGCTGCAGCTGCCCCCTCTCGGGTGAGGTGGCTCCGGGGATGTGCCTGGCTTTTGGGGGATGAGTCATACCGGACAGGTAAGATTTTCTCGTCCCAGCGAAAGGCGAGTCCATCCCAGAGAGCCGACACTCCCTCCCTGCCTCTGCCCTTTTCCTAAGGCTTGGAACTATCCAAACTAATAAGGTAAATACTGGGTCAACTGCAATGCCCCAAATGTACTCTTCATTGCCAAAACCAATAAATACATCCCTAAACTGTCAGATATATTCCATGCATACAAATAAATAAGACATTTACCTCGATGAAAACAAGCCAGACACTCTCCCACCCTCCACCTCAGGGAAGACTGCAAATAAAATTGCCCTCAACTAGCTTCCAAACACTGTTTTCCAGCAGGGGCAGGTGACATGGGGATCAGTTAGGAAGATCCTTAGTTTCACAAAGGGAATCTAGTAGCATTTCTCCTGCCTTCATCCAAGGCAAGCTATTTCCAAATAGTCTGCATACTTTTCCATATAAGGAATATCTCCCTTGGATCTATATGCGGGTCCTTTGAACAAGCTAAATAAATGTCCTGCTAGGAAGCTGCCTCTCCTATGGCAGCCTGCACAGAGCAGACATCTGATCTACATTACACATGGATCCCTCTCCCCTGTTCCTTTGAACACTTCTGTTTGTTAAGTCCTTGGGTTCTCTTTCAAAGCTATGTAACCTAGTTGCCATACTGAAGCTAAACCTTTTCTTTCTTTATTCCTTTTAGAAGTAAAATAAGATAAAAGCATGTTGTCTTCTAGACGTTGTTGTTTGTAACATTTCCGTTTCTGAAAGTATCCTTCCTCCCCCTGAAATACTTTGCTTTCTTCATTGTGATAACTCCTTTTCATTTTGGCTTTAAGGCTGACTTTTAAAGCTGAGCTATAGGAAAAGGAGGATCATTGCTTTGGAAGTACTGTAGTTCCATCTAATCCTGTAATTCAGACCTGAGATTTACTCAAGGAGAATTGAATTGTCCAACAGCGGCAACAGAGACCAAGACCTTAACTACACAGACTCTTATGGTTCCATGCATGCGATCCATTAAATGCATGTCAGGAACAGACAGGTGGGTGGGATGAGGGCCTGGGAGAGGCACAAGCTCTTGCCTTATTACCATATAAAGTGCTGAGCTATATATATCTCCCAGCTTGCTCCCAAGATCCCTGTCCTCTGAACTGCAAAACTAGCAGTATCATCTTCCGGACAATCTTCCGTCACACAAGACTGAACTTTTCTTTGACAAGTGAAGCAGTTCCACTGATTCCAAGGGGGGGGGAAGCAGGAGAGAACCTTTTATCTCAAGGACCATTGAGCCAAACCAGTATCTACCAGCAGTTCTAACACATGCATACCTAGGAACAGCTCTCTTGAAAACAGAACTAGCAGCCCTTGCTCTTCTGGATCTCCCTCTCCAGCACCTACTCACTACTAACTCTCTGCTTCTGTTTCACTATCAAGACAGTGTTGTTCTACCCTGAGTTGTTTTACCCATCACCTGAATAGATAAATCACCATTTCTTTACTTTCACATCTGGAGTGGCAAGTACACATAAAAAGCACACGTCAAGTGAGCAGAAACCCAATCAGACGCCTCTGATAGTGTGAAAACCTCATGCAGGGAGGCAGTGCTGTGTTTCCCACCTCCCTGTCCAGGAGGTGCCTGGACCCTGCCTTCAGCAGAGCTTTGCATTGCTGCTGAGTAGGAGTCCAGGCTGTCCTGAGCAGAGGGAGTTTGTGGTTTCTCTATCGGGCTTGTGGTGAAAGGGATGGGGGTAACTTACATCTGTGGCCTTTTTGTCAGCCAGTTCCAACTTTTCCTGTGCATCTTTAAGGGACTCGGAGTATTTGTCCAGCTCATCCTCAGTGGCCTTCAGCTTCTTTTGTAGAGCCACCAGCTCGTCCTCCAGCTGTGATGTGGGTGGAAAGTGGTGGAGAGGGGAGGGTGGGCAGGAAAAGGTGCAGCAGGCAGCGTGATCGTGCAAACGGAGAGGTGTGAGTGCAGAAGAGACAGAAAAGGACAGACAGACAGAGAGAGAAAGAAGGAGAGACAGTTAGATCCTCTTTGCTTGCAGCAAGGGCACGATACCTTGGCAGCATTCTCCTCTGCGGAGAGGAGGCTGTCCTCAGACTTGTGTAGCTCTTCCAGCACTTGGTCCCTTGTATCCTCCGTCCCACGCAATTGCTTTTCCAATTGCACAATGTCATCCTCTAACTAGGTGCACAAGAGGAAATATAACGCACAAATATGTTTCTCCCTTGGCTTAGAAAACTGAAACTAATTTATAAAATCGCTCTTCCTTTCTCCCTCCTCCTTCAGGATCTCCCAGAAACGTGCAATCAATGCATCCCCCTCCCTGAATCAAGAAGCCCCAGGTGTAAAGGAGGGGGCTTGGAGAAGGACAAAAAAGTGGGGCATGTGTCCGGAGAAGGGCGGGAGGGAAGTTCGAATCGGACACATCTGCTGAGTGATGCTGGAGTGGGCGAACACAGCTTTAACTGTCCTTTGCCAAATCGCCGCACATCTGCCCAGTGCTAACCAGGCGTTCTGGGCAGCCTCTCTAAGCCGTCCCCCTGTGACAAAGGCACAGAGGCCACGCCGCCGTCCCAGGGCTCTGCTCCCCAGCTGGAATGGTGGGGAAGGGGGAAGGACCTCCTGCCGCGCCCCCGGGAACCAGCGGCTGCCAGGCTGAAGCTCTGCCTTAGGGAAAGTTCAACCAGTTCTGCAGGGGCGCGGGGGTGGAATATAACAAAGTACGGTGAGGGGGGAAGAAGAGGGGAGGAGGTAAAAAAAAGAGGAGTCTGGAAAGATTTGCGCCCCGGCGCTCGCTGCGCCCGGGCCCTCGGTGCAGACCTGCTTGCTTCTCTCCTCCGCTGCCTTCTTGTCCGCTTCGGCTTGCTCGGCTCTGTCCAAGGCGTTTTCCTTGTCCAGCTTCAGCATCTGCATCTTCTTCTTGATGGCATCCATGGTGGCGGTGGGTTAGGGCGCGTCCCCGCGCGAACTTCTTCCGAGAGAAAAACTTGAAAAGTTGCGGGACAGCCCCGAGTCCGGACGCAGGCCCCCGGGGGAGCGGAGCGGAGCGGAGCTGCCGGGCGGCCGAGTTGATCCGTGCGGGACGGGGCGCCGGCCGAATGCAAGCGGCGAGCAGGGAGCGCCTCACAGATATGTACTTTCCCAGGGGGCTGACTGCATTCCTCAAGACATCCAATACTTTTTTGGAAAGGGCTTTTTTTCTTCCCTCCCTCCCTCCCTCCTCCTTTCGTCCCTACCCCTTTCCCTCTCACTGCCCCCCGGGTTTTTTTGGGAGGCACAGCCTTCCCATTCGCTGCCGCCTGCCATTTGACCGCAGATATGACTATATATGGGATGCGATGGGCGAGGTAAGGCGGGGGAGCAATTTGTTCCCATTTCCAAATAGGCAGGACGGGACATTTCGCTGCTACTCCTGGGAGGGAAAAAAAAAAAAAAAAAAAGCAGCAAGCCGGAGCGCGGGGAGCGGAGGAGACGGGCGCGAAGGCTGCTGGCAGCGGGCAGCGCGTCTGGATGACATCGGCCCCGTGCTGGAGCCGTCCCCACCCGTGGAAATCAATCTGTTCTACAGCAGGAGGGTGGCGGAGCCGGTCGCATCAGGCGGCAGGGGGAGGCGGGGCTGCTGGGCACGGGGGCTGGAGGACGGGCAGTAAGGGGTTAATCGCATGCCCGTACGGAATGAATGCGCTCGGAGACCTTCCCCCGGCAGCCGGAGGAGGAGGGGGCACTTCTACTCAACAGCCAGGCTGCAGCAAGCACGGGCGGCGGGGCGCTGCGCCGGCCCGTGCAGCGCCGGGCACGAAGCCCAGACTTTGCGGTGGGACCCGGGCAGGGCTGGCCTTCCGCCGGGACCCACAGCGAGGGGAAGGGGCTGAGGGGCGACCCTGACCCCCAGAGCAGTGCTGGGGCAGGGCAGAGGTGCCAGCGGCTGCCAGAGCTTCCGAAGTGCACCGCTCTCTCTGCAGTACCTGGCCGGGGCTCCGGGCCCTGCCTCGGTACTGCACGCTCAAGGGCGCAAGGAGGGAACAGAAAAGGCGGACGGGAGCTACTGCCACCCTCAACGGGAACAGCGCGAGCCATGCCCTGCCAGGGTACCCAGAGCTGCGAGGGATGGAACCCAGGAAAAGCTGGGGCAGGGAATCTTAGCTACAGAGGTGACTTGCACCCTTTCGTAATGCCAGCGAGGGACAGCAGCAGATAGACAATTAACAAAATTACATATAATTAAGTGAAGACCTATTTAATTCACTTCTGGCATGTCTCTCACAGTCTCATCAGCAGAGTGAGCAAGACACAACACGTTGTCCTCGGGACGCACGCTCCCTTGTACAGCGTAGAAAGTACAGGGATGTGCATGAGTCCCACAGGATGTGGGTTGCACAAAGAAAATTAGGCAGCCTTTGTCTACACTCAATACTTGTAGCAGAAAATTCCTCCCTGGTGCTGTCACTGGATCAGCTGAGCTGATGTTACTTTGCAGGAGGAGGGAATGTCCTACAACTTCTGGCCCACGGTACTTACCAGGGCAGTTAAGGGCTGGATTTGCAAAGCAGGCCTTGGAGAGCTTAAACAAGCTGCACCACAAAGCTTCAGGTCTACAAAGTCCCCTTATGAGGGTCCAGACCAACAGTTGCAGTCCCCAAGTCCTCAGAAAGGCCATAATCTGAATTAACCTAGGAACTATACAAAATTCAGAGGCTCACAACTTGGCATGGGGATTCATGTATACTGCTCCTAGGGAGTAGAGGTCCAGTCAAAATAGAAGCTTTCCTTATGCCTACTTAAAGAAAAGATGATTTCTCACTGCAGGCCTTTCTCACTGCATTGGTTTAATAACCAAACTAGTACAACAGTAACAGTAAAAATTACTGAGAAAAACATTGCACTTCCACAGAATGTTTCAAAACACAAGAATATTGAAAAACTCTACAGATTTAGTCACAACCAACTCTAAAGTGTAGTTTGTCTCTTTGCACTTACACTTGATTTTACACTATAGTCAATTAGAACAGATTAGGGCCTTTCTGAGATAAGTATAACGAGTAGTTAAAAGATACCTAGTTACCTATTGTTTAACAACTGACTGCTTTGTTAAATGTATCAGTATGTTTTAACCCTAGTTTAGGAGAACATATTCCTCTGCCACAGCAGATGCCTTAAAAACATAGAGTATCATGGCTGGGAATTCACTGAGGTAGCTCTTCTCACTTTGGGGAAAGAAAATGTCTTGCGAAATTAAACAAACAACTGTCTGGCTAATTTGGGAGTGGTGCTGATAGGCTCTTAAAAGAATGCCTGTGCAGCTCCTGTTGGAGTTTTCTAAAAGAATGTTAGCCGTGACATGGGAGCCTCTAGGATACAGCAGAAAGTATGAGATACAGGCAGAAGGAAAGGAACTCAAAGTTTAAAAAAAAATACCTGAAGGATGGCATCACCTCCACAGGAAAAAAAAAATAAATCTTGAGGTTCTACTTACATGAAAATGTCCAGTTAGTAAGCTTTGTTTATAGCAAGATGACCTGTATGCATGGGGCTGAATGGCTGATGGTGATTTAATTTTTGTTTTCCTCCTGGAGAGAGTATGAAAAGTACAGACATGTGTTAACGTGCTTGCTATACCTTTCATTAACAATTTCAATTACTTGGAAACTTCTGTTCCAGCTGGCCAAGAAAGATAGGTTTAGAAATGAAATAGCTTGTATAGCCTCTCCCTCTTTAATTGATATGTGAAGACAGATTGTATGCAAATTATTTTTACTTACTGAAAAAAGAAGGCAGCACAAACTTTGTTTTTGTGACATAGTACCAATTCTCTAATGTTACTTGTCAACTCTTGCTTTTCACCACAATGGCTCATCTCATCTCATTTTATCTAATATAATCTAATCTCATCTCATCCCTCCTCATCAATAAATGGTGCAGAAACTCATTAGCAGTAGTTTCACTTTCTTCTGGGGAGTACCTACTGAACTAATTTTGAATTCTGTTAATTTAATTGGACTCTTTAGAAAATCAAAACAGCAAACTCAAAGCACCAAGAAAGGATACCTAGTTTTGAAATTCATGACTCTTTCTGTGAGCAGGTGATGCCACAATTCAGGCTTACTGACAATACAGTACAGAGTAAGGCTGGGACTTGTTTATATAATGATGTTTCTGTCATGTCACCTATCCCTTGACATGGGCAGAAATTTGCCTTGAGGAGGATCTGCTCTTTGGGCATAGATTGTGTTGGTCATAGGGGGTTGATTCTGATAACAGACAAAAGGGTAGGAAATGACACCTAACAACTGGTTCTGCCAGTTCTATAAAACATGCCTCCTAAAAGACTATTAAGGATTCAAGTTAGGTCAGTCAGAGCGAACTCACAGGCCTGTATGTATTTGAAAAGTGGAGTGTTCCCTCACATGGAGGCAAATAAAAATGAAATATAAACCAATTTCTCAAAGGTCTCTGAGACCTCTGCTTCCCTTGTAAAACAGGAATGTTCCTTTTGGACAAAGGAAGCCAACAACAGGAGTGTAGGATATTATCAAAAAATAGGAAATTGAAAACATCTGTATTCACCTAGAAAAACAAGAGGTGGACATGATCACTGGGATAAACTTCAAACATGCCTTTGGAGTTGCTTTACCTACTTCTTCTCCTAGGTCTCTTTCTGTTTTGGGTTGTGGATTATTGATGGAATCGGGAAGGTTTTATTAGTACAGTCAGTGTATTTTATTCTGTAAGGATCTCCAAGAGCTTTGCACTAAAATTGAGGGACAATATTTCTGAAGAAGAATAAAAAGAGAAAATTACCCCTGGGGAAATTGGTCATCTACACTTCAGCCATAAGGGAAGAGAAGGCCCTAAACCAGAAGGCAGGAATCCCGATGGCCAGTTCTCTGCACAGCTCAGTAGGCAGCAAACAAGTACAGAAATACTCCAGAACATGCCAGTCATGCTTAATACATGCTGTAACCCTGTGAAAAGTTTTCTGCAACATTTCCTAAGTAACGGTGGAGAGCAGTTTAGCTTTTGTAATTAAGAACTATGGGATGATTTATTGGAAAAATTAAGCTTTAAATTATTGAAATACTTTTCCTCTTCAGAAGTAATGTTTCTGTTTGGTTTGTCATTCAAGAAATTAGTGAACTCCTTAAGTAAAAAAGTATTTATAGCACAGTCTTCTGCACCTGCCCTGATCTGTAATCTGAGGGTCTACTCAGATACCACACCAAATGCTAAGAAGCACATGACCTAACTCATGACCTAAGATCTTAAAATAGCTCTGAGAAGGTCTTCTTTATTTTTTCCCCAAGACTCCTTTCACTCTAATTGGACTACTGTTATTTGCTAGATTTCAACTGAGCAAACGTGTCTCCCAAGTTTTTGTATTGTGCTTTCTTTTAAAATCAGATTTGCTTTAGCTGGTAGTTAGGAGTTACTAATGTTATTCTCTGAAAAAAATCTACAAAAAATAAGTAACAGAAAAAACAAAATCCAAAGTTCACTCTTGGTAAGATGTCTTCCTACGTCTTTCTCTTTATAGCTTCAGAGCGTTTCAGACCACAAAAAGATTAATAGATCATTTAAAACTGTTTATTTGTATATATTGTTGGATTTATGTCCCACTCAATGAAGTCTCAAGTCACTTACTTAAATCTGACTAAAGTAATCTTCTATTTTGAAAAAGTGTTTAAAAAACAGTCTTGAAAAAGAACACCCAGTCCATTTTTACTTAGACTGTGGTATTGTACCATAGAAAAGAAGAGTGAAAAGGCCAAGTAACAGAAAAAGGCAATTAATATGCAATGGGGGTGGGGGGGATGAAAGAAATACTACAATCAACTGTACACAAACACCAAACTGAAAAGAACTGTGAATCAACAAATCCAAAAAGCAGCAACTCTTCAGGTGAGAGTCCACTCATGACCTTACAATGGTGCAGAAATTGCATTAAATTTTGTCATCTCCTCTGATTTACACTATCCCAAATGATATCACACCCAGTTCTACTGAATGCAATTGAGAAAAAGTTGTGGACAACAAGAAGGCCAATACCTTCAAAGGCAGAGTTCCATCCTTGTGAAGCAGTTCATTTGCCAGTGCTTTGAGCTATATATAGATAAATACACTATCACTGTAACATCTGCTGCCATATCTACAAGACTACGAGGTGTCCTGTAATTTAGCTTTGCAGTTTTGTTGGGGATTTTTCCTAAGCAGAACAAGGAACAATTGCCATTGCATACCTCTGACAGATTTGTGCTACTGATCTTATTGGTACAGTAACATATGATAGGAGAACAGAGCAGGAATGAAAAATAGGAAAGAAGAAAACTGACTATATTTCTGATGTCCACCC